CAGGTTGGTAGCAGCGTGTTGATCCAGGAGGAGCTTTGTGCAGATGTGGCCATGATCCCAGAACTGTCCTTTATTCATGACCTTGGGTGGATGCCTGAGCACAGCACCTTTCTGCACAGTGGTTACGTATTTCTCATCCAGATGCACCTATCTCTGTCTTGTAGTTTTCAGGGCTCACACCAAGCAACAAATGGCATGAGACACTTACATTCCAGCAGAGCTAGCACAGGGCTGGGCAAGGAACTGATACAAAAACTGTGTGCCTGCTCATTCTGCAAAAGCCTTTTTTAGAGTAATGTAAAGTGCTCAGCTTGCAAGTTTTTCCATTTGCTGCTGTGATGGTGAAAACAAGACAAGGAAGGCTAGGGAGAAATGTTTTCAGCATTTTTAAAGGTCCTTTGTCCCCAGAAGAGTATTAAAAAAACAAAAGACGAGATCAGTTCTTCCTGGGGAAGAGCCCAAACCTTCGTTTTAGAAAACAAGCAGTCCTTTCATCTCCTGATTTCAGATCAGACTCTGCTCTCCATGGATCTAAAATCTCCAGTTGACAACACAAGTCAACAGATTCTTTCTGACAAATGCCACGATATGTTCAAAATAGGTGACTCCTTGTTATATGAGAGTGCTAAAATGTATTATACCATTATTTTTCCAAGTTGATATTTTTCTTTGTTTATTCTGTGCTAGTAGCAGTGACTGAGCGCCAGTTTTCAGTGGCACCAATCTGTACAAGAACAGATCTGCATTATTAGTGCCTCTTACTGCTGCTGTGGTTAGCAGTGGCAGGGAACCCAGAGCACTCAATAGCAAGTCAATAGCTCCTCTTGGTTTGGAGTGGTTCAGAGAGGTGCGTACTCAGCAGCCAACGCTTTATTCTGCAGTAATGTGTGTCTATGGGAAATGTGCTTTATTTTAAGTCTTCCTAGCCATCTTACTAGAAAACGTTTTCATAGAACCATAGCATCATATATTTCAGATAAAAAGAAAGAAAGTGTGCGGTGTAGTGCTTCATTTAATTTGAACTTTGTGTCTTAGAAGGACTTGTTTAACCAAGCTGCTAGAAGTGGTTGATCAAGGGATGTTTGCTTTCAAGCCAGTTAGCAGTTTGAGAACTTTCAGTGGTCTGAAATGAGCCTTTCCTCCCTCTTAGTGAAGATACGTCTGCAAAGGAATTGTGAAGTAGCAAAATCAGAGACAGTCATTCCTACTTTCTCAACAAACTGTAACAAATTCCAAAGTGTTAAAATAATTACTCACTGACTTGCGGCGCATTGGATTAAAATTAAGGGACAAAACACTCCGTGTAGGAAAGCACCTTCAGCAAAAAGAGCCACGTAACCGTAAAGCCTCCTAGCCAGTGACTCACAGTAGGATTCTAATGATTTGTTTAAAAAAAAAAAAAAACCAACAGTTAGCTTGCACAATTATTTGTCATTCCTGATGCTGGTTATTGGGAGGAGTGTGCAGGGAATCAATTAGTTATCAGGCCAGAATTCATTGTGTGTGGAGATCCACTGGGGAATGGCTTTGGAGAACTCAGTGCGAGTCCCAGCTTTGCAGTCTTATGTTATCAGAGAATAAACCTAACCAGCTGTGGCTTTCTGCTTAGAGGTGGAAGGAAGCAGCACAGTCTCCCCATGATGTGCCAGAGTTTATGGGGGATTTACTGATTTCATACAGAAGTCATTCCTTAAACCCATCCAGTCCATGTTAACTGCAACTATTTAATACTGGGAATGTAAATAGACACTTATTGGGAAACCAGTAGCTGCAGAAAGGTAGAGATAGAAAAGGTATTAAAATTTGAAATTAAAGCTAGTTTTGTCCACAGGTACAGTTAAAATTACCCATGGAGGAGATGATCCTGTAAACGGTTTTCAGCCATGTGGATTAAAATAAATAAAAATAAAATCTCAACTGTAGGGAAATACAGTCTGCAATACAGATTTTTTTGAGATGGCAAAATGCTGAGGGAGCAAGTGCACAGGCTGGCAGGGCAAGGCCAGCACAGTGTGGTCCTTCTTGGGCTGGAGCATCTTGCTGAGCTTGTTTCTGTCCTTTATATTGATTTGAATTTTAATGCCCGCCAAGGGCACCTTCAGCCTTCAGAAAGGCACTGTTGTTTCCGAAGACCTGAAATTGATAACAGCAGTAAGTAATTCCTTGGGAGCTGCTGGTGCTACTGCTGCCCAGGTTCCTGCACTAGAGGCCAGCATGGCAAGTTCTGTGCTCCAGTGCACATTTAATGTAATACGTGCATTGATTTGTGCCAACACAGTGGTGAAGATAAGAGACAAGTAGCTATATACTACTCTCTTCCAATTATTGAGCTGGAGCAACTGCTACAGAAGCAAATACATGTCACTGGACTCCTGCAAAAATAAATTACAATAGTGAATGCTACTGACTGCAACAATTTGGAGACCTATAAGCCAGTTGAGAAACTTCTATTAATATCACTGTTATTGACGTGTGAAATATAACCCCTGCCCCTGGTTTCTGCCAGCTGGTCTGCTGTTGTGCTGCTGCTAAAGCAGGTCAGGGAGAGGCCAGGATGGAGGTTTGAGAGCATCCTGCACTGTCCTCCTCTCCCTCACTCTGTACCATTGTTATAAAGACACAAGCTATCATTTTTTTTAAAGCAGATCTGGTTGTACTCATCAAGAGAGTGTGTGTAACAGGAGGCACAGGCTGCTCAGGTGCTGGAATGGGCTGCCCAGTGAGGTGCTGGAGTCCCATCCCTGGAGGTGTTCAAGAAACGTTCTGATGCTGTACTGAGGGCCATGGTTTATTGGGAGCTGTTGGTGGTATATGGGTGGTTGGACTGGAGAACCTTTGAGGTCTTTTCCAACCTTGGTGATTCTGTGATTCTGTGACTCTCTGACTCTATTGCTGCTCTATATGAAGCTGTGTCCCTGGAGTCCCCACTCATTGTGCTGGCTGCAGCCTGCAGGAGCCTGCTTTGTTCCTGTGCTGGTGGGGATGGGTGTATTTTGGGCTGGCATCCACCTATAGGTTGACAGCTCTCTGAGGGTTGCATCTGGACTCGGACCAGACCAAAAAGGAACACAGAGCACCAAATACACTCTTTCAAGTGGTGTGGCAGACATCTGAAGTCACCCGTTATTCCTTTCTGCTGTTTCTCAATACCAGAGTTGCCCAGTGTCACCCCATGGCAGCACATGAGGGTTACAACTTGTGGGGTCTGCTGCTGTGTGCTGCCCGGCTTCTGCACTGCTCCTCATCTGGCCAGAGCCTCTCGAGCATTTCTGTGGTGCCTGCAGCCATTGTCTGCTAGATTCCTTTTGTCCTAATTTCTCAATCTCGTTGCTCACAGCTTGATTGGCATTAAGGATGCAGGAAGGCTTCTTCATTTCCTTTCAAATTAGTTAAATTAGGAAATAATTGAGCAGGAGAAGGTGGGAATTAATATGAGATTTTCAGTGCAGGTCTGAAAGTGGCTGAAGGGCAGAAAAGAGATTGTGCTCCAAGACATGGCACTGAGCAGACAGCCACGTGTTCTGCTAAGAGAGACCATATTAGGCTGGAGGGAAGGTTTCCCTGCAGTTCTGCAGATCGTTTTTGGGTGTCTTCAAATAATTGCACTTTCTGTGGTTGCTGTACACCGAGGTAAGAAAGTACTAATTAAAAAGAAAATGACCAAAATGTAATAGAGGGAACGCTGAAGTGCTTTGAGTAATAAAGAGATGAAGTCGGTGCAAAGTCCTGTTCATAGAGGCAGCAGACAGAAATTACGTGCTAAGTGGGAAAAAGAGACTTTCTAACTGGGAATGAAAGAGGTGATGGAAGGATGTGGCTGTCTGCAGAGTGCAGGACATGGGCTGCCTGCAGATGTGACACACTGCTCGTTCAGGGCAGGAGCAGAAAGCAGTGGTGCAAGCTGTGTGCGTCGGTGCCCATTTGCCTTATGATTGCAGCAGCTGGCCATCTCATGGTCCTGGAGGTAAGGAATCCTTGGAAACTGAGAGAGAAACGTGTTGTTTTTGTCCACTGGGGTGCATTTGCAGTGATACGGTGACAGCCCCCAGCGTACCGCCACTGTCACCAGTAAGGAGCTCAGTTGATGTTACAGCAATTAATGATGTGCACAGTGGTGGTAATGGTGGGTATTACAGTGGTTGAGCAGCACGGTGTTCTGTAGCTGTCCCCTGTGCTGCTTCCACAGCGGCAGATCCTGCTGCACACTGGTCTGGCATCAGCTGTGCTCCCCAAGTGCTCCTGGGTAAAGAATATTCTTTGCACATTTCAAATGGCAGATTTAATGTAACGTTGGCCAAAGGCACTTCTGATAATGGATCCATCCTGAGCCCAGCGGGACCTCACAGCGCTGTTCTTGCTTCCTGAGGGCTCAAGGCATTCACGTTGAATGGGATTTACAGGAGATCAGGCTTTCTGCTTTCATTGACTTAAAGCAGAGCACAAGAAGACGGGATAAAAGACAGGGCTAATTGTGAGAACAAAGGAACCCCCAGAAGCATCCCTGGTGTGGTGCTAAGCAGGGGAGAGGAGGGATCAGGAGTTATCCTCCATCCCCACTTGCCTCCCACCATCCAGGAGATGGGTAGCGTTGCTCGTAACAGCGTTTTGGTGGCAAAGAGTACAGATTTGTGGAGGGGAAACTGGGACCTTCATTGAAAAGCCTTCAGGTTTGTGCATCTCCAGCTGCAGCCCACGCAGTGCACGTTGCAGGGTTGTCCTGGAGAGCGCCGAGCACCAAAGCACAGTCTCACGTAAAACCTACACGAGCTGTGTGTGTAAATTAGAGTTGCCCTCAAGTAAAGACACCAAAAACTCATGTAAATGATGCATTCAGTATTTATGAATTGTGTCCTCAGAGGTTTCTGCCAGCTTAACTCACTCTGCAGCGGACTGTCTGCTGTTCAAGTTGTTAATAATTAACGCAGACTAGGAAGAGCAGTATGTGACTGTAAGGTATGTATGTAACATAACGTGTGTTCTATGCCCAATTATCTTTCTAGAATCACTGTTTTGGATGACGGCAGCCTCCGAATTGTCAACGTCACCAAGTCGGACACAGGGAGCTACACCTGCGTGGCCACCAACCACTTCGGGACAGCGAGCAGCACTGGCAGCTTGGTTGTGAAAGGTAACAGTGATGTTCTCTGGTGAGCATTACCCAGTGCTGGGCACAGCCTGCTCCTTTGCTGCTGACACGTGGGCCTGTGGGAATCACAGGTCCTTCAGCAGCTGGGCTTTCTGGCTGCACACAGCCTTGTGTGTCATATGGGGATGCAGTTCTGCAGCTCAGGAGTTCCAGGTGTTTGTTGGGGTGTACTCAGACTTTTTCCATCTGTTATTTTTTTTATAGGCAGGACTTGTAAGGTTTCACAAAGACGGTTAAAGTAATGATCTGTTAAACAGAGTGATGCTGACAAATGTTTTAAATTCATTTGTCCTCTGCTTATGAGTAGTCCTGTGTCTGAGGAATTACTATAGGCAGTGAGTATATGGATTATTACACTTACAATAACTCTTCTCCTTATTTGGGGGAAAACCTCTCTTGGATAACACATCAGGAAAGACTGATTGCAAAGCAATAAATCAATCACAGAGCTCTGATGCTGTCAGTTTTCATTCTCCCATGTTTTGGCACTGATGGATAGCATTTGGTTAGAGGGTCTCCCCATCAATTATTTCTGTGGTGGATAGGGAATACTTTAAAACGTTTCAGTGCAAGTTTTAATCCGTGTTTTTTACAGCCAGAGCAAGTAATGTCAGGCAAGTGCTGATAAAGCTGGTGAAGCCCCGTTGTGATTGTGAACTGCAGGTGCCAGCAGTGCAGCAGCAGCTGTCATGCCAGGGCAGAAGGTTTGCCTCTCTGTTAGCTGCGTGGTTACGTGTTGGCAGTCAGGGAGGTTTGGAAGAGCTTGCATGGCACTTACCCATGCCCACATCTGTCCCTGCAAAAAAAAATAGAGCAGAGTAAAAAATCAGATCTCATTTCCACGTGAGCTGATTCTGCCTTTTCTTGTTTTGTGTCGTCCTGAGGAGGAACCTGTAGCAAACAGCCCTGAGAACAGTGCTCAGAGACAGCGGGCATACAGAATCCTGTGTCTGTTACCAAAGAGTCATTCATCAATTGCTTCCCCCAAAGCAAAGCTGGGAGCAGAGGGGTGAGCACAGAGAGGCAGGAGGGTCCCACTGTGCCTGCACCTGCATGCCACCAGATGCTGTGCACCCAAGCTTGGCTCTGCAGCTCCTCTATAGCTGGCCGATGGTATTTGACACCCTGAAATCCAGTCGTTGAGAGCAGGACTGTGTTTGCCCACTGCTCTGAGTCATGCTTCTGTCACCCACACCTTGTCCTTCCTCATTAGCAGTACCGAGGAGCTGGCAGTAACTTGAGTTCTTGGTAACTTGGGATCTTTGTGTTCGCATGGTTCACGCATCGCCGTGCTTCGTGGTGGGGTTACAGAGGATTAGCAAGTGTTTTTTTCCCCCTCAGTGCTCCGTTTTCACTTGGTTCCATTAGCATTAATGGAAGTGACACGTGTGCATGAAGCAGAGAATGCATTCTTTTAAGCCCAGGATGTGGATATTAGCAGCAGACAGAGAAATGCAATTTCAAAGTCTATCCCATAAAAAGTATAAAAGAGCAGAAACTATTCTGAACTCCAAATGAACTGTGTAAAATACACTTATTTTATACTGAAATGCTTGAGTTTCCCTGCCCTAAGTAAAACATGGGCAAGGTTTGACAGAAATACGACTGAATATCTTGCTTTAACTCTGTTTTGTGGTGTAAAAAAGACTAATTTATCAGCTGATGAGTTTTTTGACCTTAAGATATGCTTATATTCTCTCCTAACTCATCTTATGTCATCGGGTAAAACACTGTGAAGGTCGAAAGGCGTTTTTTCCAGCTTTCCTCTGTTCTCCCATTAACATTGCAGGGTCTCTCTCTTCTTTTTTCTTTCTTAATTTTTTTCCTCTCTCAGCAAGAGATGCCAACAGTGCCACAGACAGTGTGGGCAAGGATGGGAGGAGGAGAATGTCTGTTACCCCAGAACCAAGGAGCTTAAAATAAATGTCTGGCAAACAACCAGAGAGGGATGAATAAATATTCATATTCTGCATGACTAGACAGCTTACAAAATATGAAATTCTGATGGGTGCCCATAGGGCTGTGTATTAACATGCTGTTGTCAGAGCTGCTGAGCCTCAGTGGCTTCCCAAACCTGTGAGCTTGTGCTTTGGGTTTCTTCCATTGGTTTGCTCTCGGTGAGAACTCTTCTGGCCTCTGAGACCTCAAATCTTGCAAATTTGCGTGTCGGGTTTGACCTTTAAATTAAAAAGCAGGATTGAATTTGTAGGGATGGAGGAGAATTCCACAGATGGCCTTCAGAGCTATGTAAAACATGGCATGTATTTATATGTAGCACTCATAAATATGAATTTTCCATCTTTCTTTTCCATTTTTACTGTTCTTGAGGCTAAATGTTCAGTTCTTCCAACACGTAGCAGGACTATAGCCTTCCTCAGCACCAGGAGATTACATGACAAAGCATATAAACTGTGCAATAGGAATTGATTTGTATTTAATGCCGTTGTATAAATTAGCTAATTCAGAGCAGCTTTGAAATAGGAAGCTCATTTCGAGACGCTGCAATACAAGCTCTGAGCTCACGAAGCACAAAAAGGGCCTGGGGCCAGGGGCTGCCCCTGCAGAGATGTCCCAGCTCCTCTGGGAGAGAGAACCACTGTGTGAGTGCTTGGCAGGGTCTGTAATTTCTGCTCTGGTAGTGAAGCACAGCTCTGGTTGTACACTTGCATCTCTGACAAGGGCAAGTTCCGACAGTATTATTTGCCTGTTTCATTATGATGTACTTTTAACATTTTCCTCCTGCCATTAGCTTGTCTCGCTTTGACTGTTATGGGAGGACTCAAAGCAGTAAAAGCAGGAGAATTTTTGTTAGCTGGTGTCCATATCATTTTAGCAGAAAAATAATACAAAGATAATGTCAGTAGGTTATTTTTTTCCTCGCACTTGAATAGTCTGATTGCCTTGACTTTGTCCAGCACGGGGATTGGCATCATTTTCTATCAAATTGCATATTTTCCATTCCAGGCGTATTCCTTTGTATGGATATCAAATTGGTGCATTGCATTTAAAATTGAAAAGATTTATTAGATACTGTAAACTTCGGTCCGTTATCAAAAGGCTTTTCAGAATCTTCAGTGTTACTATCTTCAAACCCAACGTAGAAGAGGCTGGGCTCGTAGTTGAGAGGCAGTCCTGTGCTCATCAGTGTGGGTGCAGCCTTTGAGCTC